AACCCACGAGTCAGAACTGACTCGATGGCAGTGAGGGTCAATGACTTAGGAAGGTGGAAGAAGAACGGATGCCTCTGGAGGATGGTGATGGCAAAGAATAGTAACCCTATCGGGACTTACGGAAGAATAGACAAGTTCATCTTGGAAGAAGCGCAGCCAGAATGCTCTTTAGAGGGGACGATGTTGAAACGTGGTCTCGTGTACTTTGGAAAAGTTTTCCGTAGGGACCAGTCCCTGGCGAAGGACCTCCTGGTGGGTAAAGTAGAAGGTCAGGGAAGAAGAGGAAGGCCCACAAGAAGATGGATGGACACAGTGGCTACAACCATGGGCTCAAACATAACAACGGTTGTCTGGATGGCGCGGGGCCACGCAGGGCTCTGTTCTGTTGTACATCAGGTCACTATGAGTGAGGACCGGCCGGAGGGCACCCAGCACCAGCGACGTCCAAGGGTCCTTGTGAGGATGGAATGGATTCGTGGACTGAAAGTGCCTACAGGAGAGTGTGGAACTAGCAGCATCCTCAGCACCTGCCCCCTCTGCCGGTTGGACCCGGTGCTGTGTACTCAGCAGCCCTCCGCCCTCACCCAGCAAGGACAATGGGAAGTGAAAGCAGACAAGGTCCTTCAAGGTTCCCTGCATCTCCGAGCAGCCGATGTATGGAGACCAGTTTCGTGCTCTCTCCCATCCCTTCACTAAGCACCAGCCATCCACTGTCTTGTCTGCTGTGTGCCCAGGAGGCCCGAGTTCACGGCACAGGAACACCAGAGGAAGGTCTGTCTGTGTGTTTCAGCTTCCGTCCCCCACACCTGTTTGGAGGAACAATGACCGCTCGCCACCTCGGGGTCTCTGTTGTCCTCTGTTTCCTCTGCTGGACAACAGAGTGTGGAGAATGGGGGATTAAACCCCCAGTGCCGAGGGGGAAGCGTGGTCGGGGGTGGGGTGGGGCTTGGTCACATTCCACCCCACTCAGACACCACTGAGAGACCCATCTGCCCCAAGAGGACATTCAGTCCCATGTGGCCTGACTTCACGAGGGAGGTTCTCTCTGGAGTCCAGGGTTGAGTAGAAAAACATTTGAGTCAGAAAGAGGGGCAGGAAGAGTACATAAGAGAAGGCTTCAAAAAGTGTGTGGGAAAATCCTCTTACCTTTGCATTCTGTTTTCCCACACACGTCGTGTTGGAGGCCCCTCCGGTCTGTCTCTCCCTGTCCTGTGTTAAGAGCGGTGCTGCTCCAGGTCAGTGGCACTTGGGTTCCAGAAAGAGGCAATGAGACCGGACCACTCGCTGGGAGGACATTCTGGCTGCAGCTGCCCTGGAGGAAGGGGTGTGGGGAGGGGGGCACTCGGTCCTCTGCCTGTGTGAGGCAGGGAGTCGGTCCCTCCAGGGCATCTTATTCTAGCTCATGATGCCATGCTGGATCTAGAAGACACTGTTATGCACCTAGCTAGGAAAACTGTGCACCTGGTTAAATTAGATCCAGTCTGGTTGGGAGCTAGGGGGTCCAATTAGGAACAGGAGAGCAGAGTCAGGGAGCAGTGTTGAAGGGACCCCTGGACAGTAAACTAGGAGCTGGGAATCAGCTGGCCAGGTCTCATGGGTTCCCATGGAGCTGACCAGGGAGCTTGTGGTACCCGCTCTCCCAGGTGGGAGCTCCTGCTGGGAAATTTCCCTCTGAGACTCTGGGAGCCCCAGGGAAGAGCTTTTCTAACTCATGCTTTGCTTTTTTCCTTTTCCTGGGGTCTGGTTTCTGTCACCACCACCAGGCCGTCCATTTGTTGTGCTGTGTGGGAATTGCATCTCACTGGGATGCTGGAAGATATGCCGCTAATATCTTAAATACCACCATATCATGATCAACAAGTTTCAGCACATTTCCAGATTGAGACACAGTAGGAAGAAGTGCTTGCAGATGTACATCTGAAAATTACTCAAGGGAAACTTTATGGCTCCCAGTAAAGCATTGTGTGACTCAGGTAACGTCTTTGCCACTTAATCAGGAGGGATCAGTTACTGGGGGAGGACGTCGTGTCTGCTGAAATGATACTAAGGCCAGTGAGAGTCAGGGAGACATTTGATGAGATGCAGTCATACATGCTGGCAGTCATGAGGGGGATGCAGGAACGGACATGGTTTGGATCTGTTCTGGATTGTTCTGTTGGATGGCACCTATCCATGCATCCATGTATCCATCCATCCACCCATCCACCCATCCATGTATTCATCCATCCATCCATCCACCCATCCATGTATCCATCCATCCATCCATCCATCCATCCATCCATCCATCCATCCATCCATCCATCATTGTATCCAACCACACATGCATCAATACATCCACGAATCCATGGATACATCCATGCATCCATCCATGCATCCATTTCTCTCCACCTTTACAGCACAACAGCTGCGGTGCTCTTGGAATGCCATAGTCACTTTGGTTTCTCTTGTTTGTAAGGCTGGATATTGACTACTAAGCGTAGTAGTAGTATTATCACGTATTATCATGCTCTGGGCTGCTTTCCTGTATTTGGGGAGTTGTCACCAGTCTTAAATTGAGAGGCTTTTGGGTTTGCAAGGGGTTCTGCTTCTGCCCCCCTCCCTCATCCCCAAACCCGGGGTGTGTGAGTTGCAGTTTGGCTTCAGCGCTGCTAATCACAAGCATTGGAACGCTTTGAGATGCTTGTGAAAGTGTATAGATTCACACACCTGTCACATCAGCTGCTTCCAGGGAATCGCCATCTTAACAAGTCCTGCAGTTTCTCAGGAGCGAGCGCCGCGGGCTTACTGGAACGGTTACTCACGGGGAACGTGGTCTTTCGTTGTGGTCTGCAGGAAAATCCCCACCTTCCCTGCCTTCTCAGAGTCTTGCCTCAGCTGCCCGTAGGACCTGTGCCTTCCTTGGGGACAAGACTCGCTACTTGCCTTAAACAGTGTGAGTCATTCAGGACCACACCTGATAAAGAGGATCACCTCCCTGGTTACAGACGTGACCAGAAAGAAGATGTAGGAAGAAGTGCGTTCTTGTTTTTCATCCAGAGTCTCTGAAGACAATTCCCAGAGAGGATTTCCAGGATCTATGGTCACTGGCGGTACACATCATCTCGCATATTTTGAAAGCCCACACTCATTTGGACACATTCACATTGTATCAAAGAAAAGCATACAATTATCTTTTGTTGTCGCTGTTAGGTGGTGTCATGTCACTTCCAGCTCATGGTGACCCTACTCACAGCCAGCGACAACTGCCTGGCCCAGCCACGTCCTCACACTTGTTGCAATCGCGGGGCCTATGGTTGCAGCCACTGTGCCAATCCGCCTTGTTGAGGGTCTTCCTCGTTTCCACCAACCCTCTGCTTCATCAAGCATGAGGTCCCTTCTTCAGGGACTGAGCAGTCCTGATAACATGTTCAAAATATGTGAGGAGGTCTCTCAGCACCCTCACTTCTAAGGAGCATTCTGGGTGTACTTCTTCCAAGACAGACGCCCCCATCCCCTTTCTGGCAATCCATCGCGCTTTCAATATTCTTTGCCGACACTCTGATTCTTCTCTGATCTTTCTGCGCACCCCCTAGCCTTCACATGCATTTGTTTGATTGAGGTCACTGGAAATGCCATGGCTGGGCCAGGAGCTCGTTAGCACTCAAAATAATCTAGCCATGTTTAGGTGCCTCAGTGGGTCAAGTCCTACTAGGAAGCTCCTCTCCAAAACATGAAATAGCATGGGAAATGAAGACTTCCAAAATATGACCCATACCCACTCTTTATCCCAACTGTCAGGCCTATTGTGAATGTGTGAACTATCCCATTATTGCTGATGATGGTTAGCCCGAGAAGTTATAGTTCGAAGGAAGTCATGTAAATGCTTTTATCTTAAGAAAGACGTTTGGACTATTTGAAGTAACTTGCTAATTATGTAATTAGACAATGCTGGAATAAAGTACGGATGTGTGAGGCAGAACAGCTGGTGTCTAAGTCCCATCCTTGGCTATTCACCACTCACCAGCCTGGGCACACGATTGCATCCCCAAACCCAAGAAAACAGAGAACCGTTCGTTATAAGGAGCACACAAGCCCCAAACTCAGCTATTTGTTGGTTTCTAGCTCTGGTGGTAGAGTGGGTTAGTCATTGGTCTGATAATCTCAAGGTCAGCAGTTTGAAACCACCAACACCCTCTCCAGGAGAAAAATGAGGCTTTCTACTCCCGTAAAGATTTACACCCTTGGAAACCCACAGGGGCAACTCTACTCTGTCTTCTAGGTTATTAGGAGTCAGAGTCAACTTGATGGCAGGGAGTCTGGAGTTTTGAGAGCTCAGTTCCTTCCCCCTAGTAGGTTTTGATATTTGTTGGTGTGTCTGAATCCCGCGAGATCAACCCAACAAACACTTGGTGGGCATCTGGGTGTTTTGGAGAGGAAAAGGAGAGTGGAGGAAGGGGAGAAGATAAACTCTATGAAGAGAAAGGGTTAACCTCTGCCTTGCAAAAGGAACACCTCTTCAACAAAAGAACACCACAAGGAAATGAGCTGATCGGGACAGAGCAAGCTCTACATGCTTCCATGTTGCCAGAGAGATGGGGCTGGGGGACCAAGGGTTCCTTCAGCCTTCTGCGAGGAGAATGGGAGGGGTGTGTCTGGCCAAGATGAGTCATCGTAATTATAGACTCCTCTTTTTTGTTTAAAAGGCTGCCACTTTACACGTGGCTCCCAGCAATTGCACATCAATGATAACCCACAATCAGACCTCTGGTTTTCCGAGTCTAGGTCATCTCTAAGTATAGATAGAAATCACCCTCCTTTGTTTGAGGTTGGGAGTTCAGGAAGATCATTCAACTGGTGGGTCTACATGAAGCTAACTGAGACTCAAGATCAGTCAGCCTTTCTAACGGCAAACTCCGGCCCTCATGAGGCATTATTTGTTATTTCTTCCAGGCAATTTCTTTCCTCACACCCCTGGCTGTTATTTGCGTGGTGAAAATTATCCGGCGAACAGACAAGACTGAAATTAAGGAAGCCTTCTTAGGTAGAGTATTCACAGTTCCTGCTTTAGGGGATGGGGTGGAATTGGAGGAGAGACCATCAGATTTAAAACCATCAAATTTAAAACAGACACAATCAAAACTCGGCTGCACCCCACTGGTTTTCCTTGGAGTCAAATTAAGCTTGGCCAAAGCGAGGCAAGATGAACTGGAAGTCCAACATGAGGCTGACATGCGGCTGTTAACAATGGGGTGTCCAGTAGCTGCCAGCGGTCACTGTCCATTGTGCTGACTATCTGTGCTGACCAGGCACCAAGAGATGCCATAGCTCTTGGTGTGGAGACCAGTTGAGATCTGAAACAGTCATCACCAGATTTGCGCTTAGTCCCGGGATAGGCATCCCAGGAATCAACCACAGGCACTTTGAGAAATCCCATTGTCCCGAGGCTCAAATGAGCAAAGGTGGATGTAAAATGAACTAGAAATTGGGAGCCAGCCCCATACTTCAGTTTGGGGAAACTGTTGAGTTTCTAAGTACAGAGTGGCACGGTGTTTTGCCATTGATTACAACACCATTGTTGTAATTTCTCTCCGTTGAGATGCTAACCACAAGGTCAGTGGTTCAAACTCACCAGCTACCTAGAGGGAGAAAGAGGAGGCTGTCTGGTCCTGTAAAGATTTACAGCCTCAGAAACCCAAAGAAACAATTCTGACCTTCTCTGGAGCCCAGCATAGTCTCAGCCAGGTGGTGCAATTCCCAGGTCCTTTCTTGACTCAGGTGTCTTCAGCAGATTTTAACTAAGGCTTCCAAATCCGGGTCTCTGAGGATCCCCTTACCTGCACGAACCTGGCAGTGGACCACCTCTGGTATCTGGTATTGACCTGGAGGATGGACGTGTATGCTGGATGCCATCCGACTTTGAGAGGCTGAAGCTGCAGACCAGCCAGGCCCGTCTAGTGCAGGGCATGGCTGCACTGGGCCCTGCCATGGTTCTCGTCAGCGTCCCCGCAACACAGTCATTGTCAACCAGCTGTGAGTTCTGATTCTGACACACTTACTTTGTCCACTGGCTGCTCTGTCTTGGGAGCTCTTCTCCAGGCCTGCAGTGGGGGGTGGGGGTGGGGGAATGCTATAGAAGCTTGCCCCTTAAGAACCCAGCCCTCTGGGCTCTGTTAGACTCTTGTTATCAGCATGAGCTTCTGATGGGAACTCGCTCATGCCCTGCTTGCCAGCCCTCCCCACCTCTGCTCTCCGCCCAGCCTTCTCTCTGTGTCCAGGGGAGGCCCAGCCCGGACCCCTGGGGGTTGTGCTACTCAGCAGAGCAGAGTGATCCATTCAGCTGACTTCCAGGAGGCCATTGTCCCCCACCCCGGCAGCCACATATGTTCGAGCTCAGGCCTTGGGACTCCTGAGGAAGAGGAACTGCTCTCTGCGCTGTGGCTCGCCAGCCAGCTTCAGGAGGCTGGGGAAGGAGGGCGGGCTCTGCCTCCAAGCTGCTGTCTCTGAAGTTCCCCGAGATTTAGGGAGCTGCACTCGTGAAGCCTGTCCCCAGAGGTTGAGGGGGTGTGAGGACCGGAAGGAGACCGAGGAGCCCAGTTAATCCGGGAAAGCACAGCAAGGCCCCAGCTGGACCGGCTGCGGTGGGGAGGAGCGTGCAGCCGGGATGGAAAGCCGTGGCCCAGCCGGTGGTGGTCATGGCACGCCCGCCCAGCCCTGGTGGGCAAGAAGAGCAAAGAGTGTCTGGAGTCGCAGCCCCTGTCTGCAGTGGAGACCCGCCCCCCTACCCCCCGGGAGCTCCAGGCTAGAGGAGAAAGGCTCTGCGTGTGCTCCGGGTGGAGCAGCGCGCCCCTAGGCTTGGCTTGAACTCCTGCAGCCCATTTGCACACTTGTTGGGCCGCTGCATTAGTCGCAGCTCGCCCTCCCCACTGTGGCCCCTCGCTCTGTAGCCGCCCGCCACGCTTCGATGTGACCACCTGTGCCCCACCCCACACCTAGGTGATTCATTTCTCTAGGAAGGGCCCCTCCCCTTCTCCCTCTCACTCTGCCTCTGTCGACAGAGTCCCCTGGCAGATTTCGTCCCCATCTCTGGGCTGTGTCTTGACCATTGCTGCTCATACAACCTATCTGTCTCCCTTGATGGCCAGCAGGGCTCGGGGCAGCGCCTTTCCGACAGCACCTCTCCACTGCACTACCCGCGCACCATTCTCTGTGCCCAGCCTGCACCGACCCCTGCCACAGGGAGACGGTGGCTCGCCTGCTTTATTAGCCATGAGAGCAGGGGACGGGGCAGCGCTAGGTTGATGGCGCTTAGGCTCGGCAACTCGCCCTGCCTTCACATTGCTGGCAGTGGCCTGGCCTTCATAAGCTCTCGATGAACCACCGTGGAGGAGGTGCCCTCCGAGGGACAGAGGTTCCTCAGTGACTTGTGCCATCGGTACCCTGTGGAGGATCCCCATGTTGTCAAGCAGAGTCCTTCCAAGCTGCTTGGAGAAAGTCCCTGTGCTGCGTATTTTAACCCAAAGACTGCCAGCAGCTCTTGCTGTAGCAGCAGCAAGCACAATAGACTCCAGACACCTTCTGAAAACCCGGTGAGGCTGTGAGACTCTTAAGTCTTCTAGGAAACGTGGCTCATCTGATCACAAGTAGGCAGCTGTGGGTGGGGGCAGGGTGAGCCCCGACATGGTCTCTGAGTGGGGTGTCCTGTGCTGGGGTGGGATTCCAGCCCCGGCGCCGATTCCGCTGGTGTCTGAGAAGGTTTGCTTCTTGCTACCAGAAAGAGGCATTACACATGCTATAGTATTAAATCTATTCCTATCGGGCATGATGAATGGGCTTTCCTTGTTGTGGGAAATTTGAGTCAAGGAGGAGAGATAAATTTCACATTAGAGGGGCTGGGAATTTGATGAGTCACTCTCCAAAGTCTTGTCCTAATTATATTTTTGCTCGAGCAACCAGACTGCGTCCAGGTTTTCTGCTGGCTCGGCCTCGGTGTCTGAGGTCATGAATTACATGGCCTTGTAGCCTGACAACGGCGATGGCAACGATGGTCTCGAACTGAGAGTCGCTGGTGACCCCTCTGCCTGTTGGTTTTGTTTTCCAGCCGTGTCCTTGGCTCTTGCGTTGAATGGAGTTTGCACCAACACCATTAAACTGATCGTGGGAAGGTAAGTTCCCGAGAGGAGCCCATGGTCCTCAGGGTGGGCAGCTCGCAGAGTGACCGGTTGCTGAGCTTTGGGCCCGAGGATGAGGACACAGGTTGGGACAGACTGAGCATGGACCGCTTCCCTTCAGCCGCTGTCCTGCTGGGATGGATGACCTCGGCTCAGCTCGTCCCTCCCCTATGAATTATGACGCCTCTTTGTAGAAAGCCAGAGATCAATAGTCAGAGAGCAGCCACTGCCCATACCGCTTGTGGGCCTGTTGGTCACCTGGCAACCATTGATGAGCTGGGCCTGTCCTCTGCTGCCCCGGGCCTCAGCAGACACCTGCTCGTGTCAGTTTAGACTTTTAGCAAATAAGACAATGCATTTATGTTCTGTTTGGGGTGAGGAGGTGCCGGGCTGGCATCCGAACCGCAACCCATGACCTGTTTCTATTGGGCATTGATCTTGCCGCCTCTGCTTGCTGCCTGGCAGGGCAGCAGGCTCTGCAGAGATCAGCAGCCAGTGGCCCCATTTCCTTGCCGACATTGGCCCTGCCTAGTGGTTCCCTCGGCTAACTTAGATCCCCTCTCAGAAGCTCAACAAGGATTGAAGATCTGCTTAGTGTAGGGTGCTGGCTGGAGGGTGAAAGATGGACAGAAGTTGGGGAATGCATGACCCAGTGCTCTGTGCTCCTCCAACTGGCGGGGGGTGAGGGGCGTGGGAGGGTGGGGGGGATGCTTAAGAGTTACTACCAAGACAATGCTGACTCTCCGGCCTTGGCTCTGTGAGATGCTAGTGGACAGCCACAGATGGAATGCACTGGCTACTTGGGAGAGATAGGACACAAGTGTGTGATAGACCAGCAGGGCCCTCCTTACCTAGATCCCGGAGTACTTCCCATCAGCCCAGCCTCACCCCGGGTGGCCCTTTGGCACACTCACGTGTGTGCTAGTATCCTCAGTTAGGTGAGGCAGTGAAGTGTGGCGTGACATGTGTGGGCCCTGATCACTGAGGCTCAGAGCTCATCTTTGCTCCTTGCTGGTTCTGTGTGACCTTGGGCAGGAACGTGAACGTTCTAAGCCTTTCCTTTCACACCTGTCGGAGGAGGAGAGCTCAGGTGAGTCTGTGCAGGGCAGATGCACAGCACTGGAGCTGATACCCAGAGAGCCTTCCAGAGATGGGAGTGTGGTGCTGTACAGGGCTTGGCCTCAGGACCAGCTCACTTCCCTTGGAGACCTCTCCAGCTACCAGACCAGAAGGGCCAACCTAGGAGACAGCGTCTCTCTCCCAGAGCTGAGCTTACAGGTCCTCACCATGTGCTTACACGAGACCTGCTGTTTGACCCAGGGCAGTTGGCCAGCCAAATTCCTTACTCAGGGCCATGAGGGTGCTGGAGGCTTGGACTCCTGGAAGCAGCCCTGTGTTGAGGGGCCGCCTAGAAGCAGCTCATTGAATCCTTGGGACTTCAACCCAGGGGTCAGTGTCAATCGCCCCCTTTAGCAGGTGTGGCCGTGGAGGCTTGGGGGGATGTCCTTCCCAAGGTCACAGACTAGTTATAATGGCACAGCCAGAGTTCCAGCACAGATAGTTCTGACTGCAAAGGCCATGCTTTCTCTACCACATCTAGAGTGTTCCCCGTTTTGATGGCAGAGGGGGTTGAAAGAAGTGGCCGGGCTAGCGGGGAGTGGTAGAGCATGAGGGTTCGTGTCTGATGGCAGCACTGTATAGTGAAAAATGTCCATGGTGTCTTTTGTAGACCTCGTCCCGATTTCTTTTACCGCTGCTTTCCAGATGGGGTGATGAACTCGGAAATGCACTGCACGGGGGACCCGGACCTGGTGTCTGAGGGCCGCAAAAGCTTCCCCAGCATCCACTCTTCCTGTAAGTTCCCTGGCTCGTCCAGGCCCAGGGCCCTGCGTCCTGAGCACGCTTTGGGGGAACTGAGGTGGAGAGAGAGGCGCTGGTCTATGAATGCTGAGCTCAGCATCTTCAGTGTCGACGGATTGGTGTAAAGATAAGATATTCGATAGGTGGGAATGACCCAGAGAGGAGGCTCTGGAGTTTGCAGAACACTGGTCCTGTTGCTTTCCTGGGCTCGATGGAGTGTGGTGTGTAGGATATCACCCTTCAGCATGTGATTGAGGAAGGCAGCAGGCCAAGGGAATTTGCTCCTATTCCTTGGGGGCCTGGTGTGTTTTCTAGTGCAGTGTTCTCTCAAGCTTATTCCGTCAATTAAGGTTCTTGTGTCGGGGGGTGGGGGGGTGGGCGGGGTGGGGGGCGCTTGATGACACCCATGGGAGTTGGCATTAGCCTTAATACAGAGACTGGCTGGTATGGAGGAGGAACCGTGTGGTGGCAGAGTGCAAAGACATCTCAGAGTGTTACAAACATGGGCTCCCATCTGACTCTGCCACCTACCAGCTCTGTGACTTGACTCTGTGGCTCTCCTGTGTGAAACAAGGACTAGGGTGGGTCTGGCCCCAGCCATGGCATGTCCAGTCGTCTCCTATGCAGATGTAAACTGGACAGTGGCTTAGAGCGCTGATGGCTTGGGATTATGACGTTAGTGGAGAGTATTGAATGTGACACGGACTGCCAGAGGACAAACAAATCTGTCTTGGAAGCACCACCAGAGTGCTCTTTAGAAGTGAGACTGTCTTGCGTACTTTCGACTTTTTGTCTGGAGGGACCCGGAAGAGGACCATCATTCTTTTTTTTTTTTTAACATTTTATTAGGGGCTCATACAACTGTTATCCCAATCCATACACACATCAATTGTGTAAAGCGCATTTGTACATCGTTTATCAAAACATTTTCTCTCCATTTAAACCCCCGACATCAGGTCCTCATTTTTCCCCTCCCTCCCTGCTCCCCACTCCCTCATGAGCCCTTGATAGTTTATAAATGGGTATTTTGTCATATCTTGCCCTGTCCGATGTCTCCCTTCATCCACTTTTTGGTTGTCTGTCCCCCAGGGAGGAGGTCACACACAGTTCCATGTAATCGGTTCCCTCTTCCCTACCCATTCTCCCTTTACCCTCCCTGTTTTGCCACTCACACCACTGGTCCTATAGGGCTCATCCATCCTGGATTCCCTGTATTTTCAGTTCCTATATGTACCAGTGTACCTCCTCTGGTCTAGCCAGTCTTGCAAGATAGAATTCGAGTCATGGTAGTGGGAGCGGGGAGGAAACCTTTAGAAACTAGAGGAAGGTTGTATTTCTCATCATTGTTACATCGCACCGTGACTGGCTCATCTCCTCCCCTAGACGAGGGCCATCATTCTTAGTAAGGTAGCGAGTCAGCAAAAAAGAGGAAGAGCCTCGGCGAGATGGATTGACCCAGTGGCTGCAAAAATGGGCTCAAACAGGAAGATTGTGGGACTGGGCATGGCTTGTTCTGGTATTCATGGGGTGGCTGTGAGTTGGAAGCGAGTTGGCAGCAGCACCTGCCAACATGGAAATCCTTATGCCTCCATCATAGTCGAGGGTGGTGATTAAGAGAAATGATAATTGTTCCTAACATTCTGCATCACCCGCCATGCCCAGATGCGTATTCCATTTAGGTGCATTATCCTGTGTGGTCGCTCAGTACATATGCCCATAAGCAGTATTTATAAAAGTGGCTATGCCTATTGTGATTTACTAACAGAGATGATACTGTCAGAAGACCCTGATTCTTCATTCAGTCCAGGAACCCCGGTGTCCTGGTGGCATAGTGGATACATGTTGGGCTGCTAACCACAAGGTCAGCAGTTTGAAACCATCAACCCCCATGTGGGGAGAAAGACGAGGCTTTCTACTCCTGTAAAGAGTTACCGTCTCAGAAACCCACAGGGGCAGTTCCGCTCTGAGTCAGAATCCACTCGATGGCGGGGAGTTTGCTTTCTGAGATCTCATTCAATCCATAAATGTTTATCGAGTGACTCCGAGGCCAGGCCCTCTGCCAGGTGTAGGAACATGCAGAGAAGTAGTCCAAGCTCTGAGGGGCAGTTCTTGGTTGGCTGTTCTTGGGATACTTGCACAAGAACCATGGCCAATGACACCACTGCTTAGGAGAGGGCAGGCTGCCCTCATGACCCCACAGATTGGATTGTTATGTACCTTTGGATAGCCTGTTAAAACTCAGTATTTATATTTTTGGTAAATGCCCGAGGCACACTTTAAGTGACTTGATCAAGGAATAAGGGGTGCTCTTTCCTAAGAGTGGTTGTTGGGACATTTTGTTCAGCGGTGTTGGGGTGCAAGCATGTAAAACGAACCACAGCAGTCCACGAGATTGTTCCCATGTCACACACGAGCACACGGAGACGCCCTTAGGCTTGGGAGCTCATCTTTGTGTCTCAGGACTCTTGGTGATTCAGCACAGAGGCCACATCCATGGAAACAAATGGCTCCCACCCTCCTCTGGGCTGCTGGGGCTGCACAGGGAACTCTTCCTGTTCAGTGGCCAAGACTTGGCATCAGAGCCCAGAGGGAGCCTGAGAGGAAGCGAGTTGTTGTGCGTGCTTTATTAAAAGCCCCGTGGAGGCTCAGAGTGGCCAGGAGCTCAGCAGTGCATGAAGGTGCAGCATTTGAGAATCTTTGGGGAGCTTCCATCCCTCCAGGCACTTCCAACCCAACCTTCAGTTGGAATGGCAGATTTCTCTCTGAAGACTCATTTTAAGTGCGTTCTGGAGGTGCTGGGAATTCCTGGCTGACGGAAACCATATTGGATTGAGTTACTGTTGCCTATTGTCAGAGGTTCCCAGGGTGACAGTGCTGAGAGATACCTGGAGTTGTAACCATCTGGATCTGCCCCCCCTGCTCCCACATCTGCTCTCCTTCCAGCTCCTAGGCTTAATCGTGTTTGTGGGATTTTAGTATCTGTTTTGCGCACCCAGAGACTCGATGCTGAGTGTTAAGGGGATTCAAATACCAAGTCTCACGCTCTAAAGGACCACCTGATGGAGCCTGGTGGCACGACGGTTAAGCACTTGACTGCTAGCCAAAAGGTCAGTACTTTTTACAGACCAGCCACCCATGGGAGGAAGACGTGAGACTCTATTTCCATACAGCTGTACAGCCTTGGAAACCCATGGGGCACCTCCCGTCTGTGCCGTGGGGGGATTCCGACTCCATGGCAGTGGAGTGGGTGCGGGTTGTGGCTGTCGCTCTTTTGGAAAACCTTCCTCTTGGCCATAAGATTGACGTGATCAAAGAAGAACTGGATCGTCTTCCCTGGGAGTGACTATAGCCCAGGTTAGCCTCTACTGTCACATGGGAGCCTGTGGAGGAAATAGCTCTCAGGTGGATAGACGTCAAGCTGGCAGGCTCAAGCTCCAGAGAGATCAGAGGATGGACACCACAGGAATATTGTTTTCCGTGGACCCCCACCTCTCTCGTGTCGGTGCGTTTCTGGCAGGGCTGTCCTCCGTGGCTTTCTCAAACGCACAGCGGACGTGTGGTTTGTGCTAGACAAATTTTTTTTGGCAGCTGGAGCAGGAGGGCCGTTGCAAAGAGGAAGACCCGCCTATGATGGAATGTCGGTGGGCTCGCTCACGGCACTGATGGTGAGGCCATTGAAGGGTGGCGTTACCTTCTGTTGTACATGCGTGTTTGTGGTGGTGGGGGGTGGTGGTGGGGGTTGGATCTCACTTGACAGCCCCTAACAGCAGCTTCCAAGGCTGCTTACAATGGTAACAGTTCTTACCATTGGACCGCGAATCCTGCCAGCCTCTGGCCTTTGAAGAAGGTGTTTCCATCTCCTCTTTCCCTTCTTTCTGGCGGGCCAGCAATTGGCTTGAAGGATGCTGCCAGGCCTGCTTAGACCAACCAGTCAGGGCTGTTTTCTGGATGGCATATTGTAGCTGGCCTGACCCGTTACTTCTCAGACGGGGTCGTCTCGGCAGATCCCCATATGAATATAGTCTTTCTCTCTGGTCGTCTCGGCAGATCCCCATATGAATATAGTCTTTCTCTCTTTAAGATACAAAGTCAATTTGTAGGCTGGGTTCGAAAAATTGGACAGAAGCTTTCTGGACCAAGAAATCTCCCAAGACCGGGTCCCCCAGGTGAAGTAAACACGGTAGTTGCTTCGCCATGACGACAGATAATTGACAACTGGGATGCAGCTGCTGTGCTCACGTCAGCCTGCACAATAGTGGTCTTCTCAGAACTTAGGAACAAACATTGACTTCTTTTGGAAACAAAGCATCCTCCTCCTCATCTATTAGAAACAGCCAGAGCTGAGCTGAAGAAGACTTGAATTCCTCTGAAGAGCTCGGGAAGCAAATGGTTGCCGAGCAGCATGTCCCCATGGCTACCTCCTTGAAGGACCTGTTCTGTAAAGAGGCCCACGCCTCCTTATTCTTGATGGGAAGAACAGAGAGCACAGTTTCCAAGAGTAAGTGGCATTCTGCAGAGTTGGGAGAAGCTTGGATTTCAAGCGGAGACCGACCAGGTAGCTTCCTCAGAGAGCAGGAAGCCAGGGGTATCCTGAAAAGAGAGGGACCTCTTGTAGCAGCAACACTAAGCTCTGTTTCTGATGGGGATTGATTCAATTTACAGAAAGAGAAAAAGGGAACACAGCCAATTATGAATGCCCAGTCAGCTGAAAGGGAGCGTTGGTGGCTTAATGGGTTATACCTTGGGTTGCTAACCGAAAGGCCAACAATTGAAAACCACCAGCCATACCCCAGGAGAAAGACGAGGCTCTGTGCTTCCATACAAAGTGACAGTCTTGGAAACCCACAGAGGCAGTTCTACTCTGGCCTCTAAGGGTCTCTGTGAGGTGCAATGAGCTCAATGGCCGTGAGTTTGGCATGTTGGGATCAGCTGAAGTAGAATATTTCTTACCTGTAAAATTGGGGCATAAAGTGATACTTTGTCTGGGGGCTGGC